TTTGAAAGTATGATTTTAGGATCTACCCATAAAGTTTGATATGTTTGTTCATGTGTTTTGTTGGAACTCTCCAAACTTTTTCAAACAGTTTACGGAAAGTATATGTCTCACTTCTGAAACACAAGATTGGAAGGCCCGAAAAAAAACGGCTCATGGGATCTCTCAAGAAACTCTCAGAAACATGGCCAGGGAAAAGTGCATCGATATAGTTCATCAACATGCTAAGAAAATTGCTACCATCCTTCCTCCCACATTTGTGCGCATAGCATGTTTTGCACATGCACATGGGGACTCTGCTTGTATTCAAGCAAGCTATAGTTGAATTAGGTTGCACATCGCACCGCTCAGTCAGAACCTGAACTTGTCGAAGGTCTGCCATTCCTTCTCCGAAGGACCCGCTCAAGTTCTTTGGCCAGCGCGCGTGCGCTCAGCCATTCCTGGATGGAACTCTCAAACATAAGTTCTCCAAATTCTCCTGCGTGTGCTAAATGCGTGCAAGAGGCACTGCGGCGAAGATAGGCGATGTGTAGCTGCAGCTTGCGGATCGGCACCCTGCTGGACAGCTGCCTCTGCAGCATAACTGGCGATTGCACAGCATCCGGGGTCTTCTTCTTCTTCTTGTGCCATAGCTTTGGAGGAAGCATTGGCATGATCACGCTGCTGATCCAGAAAAAATGCTAATGATGCTAATCGCAACAAATCTGCAAAGCTTGGCAAACCCTGTATGAAACGCTGAAGGAAAACTGTCAAAACTTGCGCGCGCTGAATCACCCAGAAACTCCCGCCAGTCAGAGTAATTGCTTCGCAAAGCAGAGCAAATCACCAGAATCATCAACATGCATGTGCTAAGTGACTCTTTTGGCAATTTTCTTGCTGTCTGGACAGACCTGGCATCTTGCCAACCCACGCGTGGTTTCGGAACCCGCACACTGATTGGACTCAAGAGCTCAAGAACTTAGTTCTTGGCCTTTTTCTTGGACTTCTTGGCCTTCGGCTTTGCAATCGGCTTGCCTGTCGCAACAGGGCGAGCTCCATGTGCACCGGCTGCCATATCTTCACATACATCGCCTGAGCCCCCAGAAACCCCATCGGAATCGGCATCGTCTTGTTGTTCTGCAGGTCCTGTAGCGTTGTACCCGCCCTCTTGCGCTTTACCCTTGCCGCCCAAGCCTCTTTGGCTGATCATATTGGCAATGATCTGGGCTATGGC